AAAAAATTATGCATTATTCTCAATCATGAATACAGATGCAAAAGTCCTAAATATATATTGAAAACCAAGTGAGCAATGCACAAAATACATCATCAAGTTGAGTTTATCGTGCGAATGCAAGGTTGGTTTTATATGCATAACATAACTTACCACATTCACAAATTTAAGGAGAAGAATCATTTGATCATCTCAATAGAGACAGAAAAGGTGACAAAACTCAATATCCATTCACGTTAAAAACTCTCAGTAAACCACGAAAAGAAGGAAATTTCATTTAACTTGATAAAATAACCCAAAAAACCTATTGCCATTGAGTTGATTCCAACTCATAGCAACCCTATAGGACAGAGTAGAACTGCCCCATAGGGTTTCCAAGGATCGGCCCATGCATTCAAACTGCCGACCTTTTGGTTAGCAGCTGAGCTCTTAATCACTGTGCCACGGGGGCTCCAATTTGATGAAAGGTAATAAAAAACCTACAGTAAACATGATGAATTGCTGAAAACAAGTCCTCTTAGGATCCAGAAAAAGAAAAAAAAACTCGCACTCTAACCATTAGAAATACATTATTAAGACTATCACAGAAAGCTCCATTAAGCATCCATGAAACTCAGTTTTAGATACCAAAGCGAATTTGTGCCACCATACAGAACATGCTGTTAACAGGGGTGCGTGGAGAGATGTGTCAGATCATTCACTTTATTCCCAGCCAGGCTACAAATGTGACTCACAGTCAAGTTCTTCCATCTCTCAACACTACAAAATTCGAAGGACAAAAATGGACAGCAGTTTATTAGGGACGGACTTTAAGAGAGGAAGTAGAAAGAATAGAAAAACTTGAGTATATTAAACTCTTAATTTATCTAGATCTTTAGGGAATGAGTACTTCTCTATAAATCAAAATTCCAGAAAACTCACGTCCATCCCTTTAAGCTCTGAAGTCTTGATCATAACATTCTCAAACAGGTTAGGCAATTTCCTCTTTCAGAAGATACTGTATGTAACTGACCTTTTCTTGATGACTCAGGGCACTGCGCTGTGACTGTCAGTGAGAGCATGGTAGCCTACAACAATACTGATGCCCTTAGGGATGATCAGAACAGGAGTTTTCCACTAGCAAGAGTATTTTCTTACACTTTGCCCTTTCGCGAGTTTTTGCCTCTTTCTGTGATGCCAAGCAGTGTATTCCAAAATTCTTAGATTATAAATTTCTTAGTGGAGCCTCTTCAGTTGAATTTTGGGACCTCAACAGGGTCCTCCTCAACTTGAGACGTAATGAGAAATGGTATAATAAAAGATAAAAATACACAGGAATATGTTCTACGCTCCTCTACCCGGCACATGGGAACACTGTAACCAGCACGATGAGACAGATTTGGATGGCGGAATGAGTTCTTTAAGGAGCAGCTGTTCTTTAAGGTTAAATGGAACATGTCTGAACATGCCAAATTACATGTTTTAGGGTTTTTTTCTCCTCCTTGGGGGGAGGAAATCACCAATATAAATCACTGCTTTCAAACATAGTATTTATCTTCTAAAAATAAATTCTGAGTTGTGAAGGATTACAAACTAAGATTATATAAAACATTAAGGATATACTTTGACTAGATTATATTTCAGCTGTTGAAAGTATAATCCTAGCAAACTATTGTCACTCTCAGCAAACATGTATGGAGCACAAGGGAGATATCCTGCTAAATGTGGTCTAAAGAAAGAGGCCTAAATGGAGTGTTTTTTATCCTCAAAGAGCTTACTCTATTCAACTGAAGAGATAAGGCACACTGAGCAAAACAAAAAGATACATACTACAAGGCGGGTTTAGATAAGTGTTATAGAAATGTAGTAGGATTTTGTAGGTTAAGAGATGGATAAAGCTCCAGGATGGGTCAAGGTCAAAACAGATTTCTCAAGGTCACTTATTTAGCTTTTAGTAGAAAGCTTGGCTGCTAACCAGAAAGACTGGCAGTTCAAATCCACCAGCTGCTCCTTGGAAACCCTACGAGGCAGTTCTACTCTGTCCTATAGGGTCACTAGGAGTCGAAATCGACTTGAGAGCAATGGATTTGGTTTGTTTTTTTTTAGTGAACATTAGTGAATGTTAGCAATCCCCCCCTCAAAAAAAAAAAAAATCTAAGTATCACAAATGATTTAGTTATAAATTTATGTTTTATTTTCTAAATGTAGGACTCTGGCTTTCTGACTTTGAGGAAGTCCCTTCGCTGCTCCGAGGCATGGTTTTCTTATCTGTAAGACAGGGTTTTCTACTCTGCCTTGGTCATAGGCTATTCAAAAGCCTCAGATAAGACTACTTTCTAACCTATAAAATACAATATATTTTTGTTAGGTAGCTGGTTTTGAAGTAATATGCTCTTTTTTTTTTTTGAGAAAAGTTATGAGCAAAGAAGAAACCATCGTACCAACAAAAGTGATCTACCGCGCTTTGGGACAGGTATTAAGTTATTAAGTATGTGATCATTAAGCTTGATGTCACATACGACCAGGGTGTTTAGTTTGTCTCATGTATCTGTGTTACCTAGTATCTACCAACAAATCATACTGAAGTATTTTGCATCACACAGATATCACATGGGTACCCTCATTAATAGACAAGGGAAGTCACGGCAAAATTGAGTACCAGGTACTTGGTACTTTTAACAAAAAACGTGTGCTGGAATAGGGATGAGTAGAAGAGTTAGCTAGACGACAATGTCTCAAAGCATGAGAATATAGCCAGGCCCCGCCCCAGACCCACCAACTCAATCTCTGGCGTAGAACATAGAAATCTGCATGTTAACCAGCCCCTGGGGGGCCTCACTCAAACACTCTGAACTTTGAGACAACAGTACTCTAGCGTCCAAGCCTAACAGCCCATGTTGTTGTTATTCCATCAACTTAGGAGTCTACACAATAATCCACCCTTCACCCCAATTCTCTCAAGTATCGCCCCAGCATGTGTGAGGTCTTTTTCTTTAGACCCATCATTCCTAGAGGCGGAGTGTGAGTCTAAGATGAATAGGCAGACTTCAGGGAGGATTACCCCAAAAAAGAAATATTTACAGAGGTTCTGGCCTCTCCACTTTTGGAAACCTGATGGCCGATACTCATAGATCTCAGGAACCCAAACTTCTTTCTTTCACGAGGAGGCTGGTGGCCTGGAGACAAATCTACTTCACTGAATATACTAACGAGAGGCCTGGTGGTGCAGTGGTAAAGCGTTTGGCTGTTACCAAAAGGTTGGCAGTTCGAATCCACCAGCCACTCCCGGGAACCCTATGCGGCAGTTCTACTCTGTCCTACTAGGGTCGCTATCAATGGCAATGGATTTGGGTTTTTTTTTTTTTTTTTTTTTTTGGTTTTACCCTGTCTGCCAGGACTGCAGGAAGGTAAATAACCTCCAGCAGAATTAGGGTGTTTTCCTGCCAACTCACTCAACTGTTAACACAATATGCTTACACCAGCCCCCTGGATAAGAAACGTGGATTGAAGGGGAAATGTTAGCAGAAGGGATTTAACATGAAGTGATTTTCCCTTACACATGATATGTGAAACACAAAGTTTGCTGAGTATTTCAAATACCAAATATATAGCCTGCTCCTTGTCCCTAACTGATGCTGTTTAAAAAATTAAAACAAAAAAACTGTTGAAATAAAAATGGTATCTAGACCTGAGTTCACAAACTGGTAGGCCTGAAGGATGATTTCGCCCACAGAGAGATTTTGTTTAGTCTGCAGAGTGTTGTTTTTAATTTGAATTAGTTGCTAACTTAAAAAAAAAAAAAGTCCGAAAACTTGTACATAAAAATCCAGATTTCCAAATCGGGATAGAACCCCAGTACTGAGCCAGCCCCATGGTGGTCATGGTCTTTGGCCTAAACTCTATGCGGCCAAATGATGCGGTTCTTTACGGTGGCTTTCTCAGCAAGGTAGGAGGGGGAGAAGAAGCAGACAAAGGTGTCGACTCTTTTCTGCATTTCATCTAGAAATAAAGTGACTTCCAAGTAAATACTGGCAGGCACTTGGGTTGGACCAGGCCTGGGGAAGTTCCACTCACATAACCTCCCTTCCTTACACCTACCCAGTGCAGAGCAAGAAAGATAGAAAGGAAATACAACAGCCGCCATCTTGCAGCCCTTGGTAATGCCACTGACAGACATCACATCTTCCTGCCTCATCCCAGAGACTTTTTTTTTTAAAGTAAAAGAAGAAAGAAGAAGAAACAGGCTCCAGAACATCGTATATAAAGGAAGGCCACAGCACCCCAAATTCTACAACACCTCAGAGAGTGGCCTTAGAAAGCTGAGACTTGAAAAGGTCAAGTTTGATGTTTGCAAAGTAGGCCTCCTTTACAACTTTGGTGAAATGAACGGCTGGGCAAGTTACTCCTGATGCCGTGACAAGTTACTCCTGATGCCTTGATGTCCTTGTTAGGAATGTAGAACTATCTGTAGCGTAACCAAGAGATTTCTATCTCAAAAGTGGATAATTACAAGTAAGGTCCTTAGCTAATCTCCTACTGTTAAAATGTGTTAAAATCAGATGAGTAATAACAGTTGCTTTAACTCAGCAATCTTCCCTAATATAGATGTAAAATGGTAATAAAGTAATTACGGGCAGTGTAAACCAAGGTTCAATTCTAGTAGGCAGTAACAGTGAGGAACCAGGAACCCTGCCTTTGGCGAAGCTCCACAAGTTCTATCCCCTGAGCAAATCACTCTCCTCTAGGTCTGTAATGGCAGGAGGAGAGTACTAATTACCTCTCCCTCACCTGCTTCGGGAGGATGTTGTAATGTCTATAAACCATGTGCCGTACCTCAGGAACACAGTGGTTATGTAAAGAAGGAACATCATTTATAGTATTAGTTTTACCTCACAGGAAGCCTCGGCGGAGTGATAACTTTACAGCTACCTGGTACTAACGGCTTATCCTTTCTCTCCCAGTGAGGAAAAGGAGAGGGGTGAGGGAGGAGATAGCTAAGGGAGTCCAGATCAGCAGCCACCCACCTCTGTTCTGATGGATACTGGTTTTCAGCCATCATCTTTGGCATCTGCAGGGGCTGATGTGGTGGTCGGGGGACCGCGAAGGTTTGTTGCTGTGGTCCAGGTTCTTGCAGTGAGTGAGGGGCGGGGGCAGGGCCCACGCCTTGTACCGGGACAGCTGCCGGGGCCTGTGCAGAGGTGGGCAGAGCTGCCTGAGGAGGCGGAAGGAGGGAATTCTGGTGAGGGGGTGACAGGGGCGTGGTAGGGGGGGTTAATGGCTTGAACCCAGAGGGAGGCTTCCTATCGTAGGCACTGTAAACAGAAAAAGAGAAGAAACCATTAAGCTGCAATCAAGCCGGTAGCGGGGTTACCTGGCCCAGCAGCCAGAATTGCCAGGAAACGACAGCATTAACTTAGTTAAATTGCTAGCAGCCCCGAGGGAATATTTGTACCTCTGAAAAGTGACAAACGCCACAGTCACTGGGACTTGTTTAACACTTTTAGTGATTTTTCTCAAAGATAATTTTAGCCTCTGCTTCCGGCTTCCTTCTTCCCTCTTTCTCAAAGAATTCTGTGTGTGCGTGTGCAGGGGTGGGTGGGTGAGGGGAGGCCAGGCTCGGGGAGGCGTTCCCGCCCCCCTCGGCGTTCCCAGGAATTCTGTCCAAGGGTACATTTCTGCCCTAACATCACTTGAATGAACAACTGTTCCCCTCCGCCTTTCAGGTGGATCTTTGTTTATCTTCTAGAGCAAAGAAGGGTTTAAAATTAAAGCCTCATTCCTGGGGCCGGGGTGGTCTTAAGTAAAGGGCACTCACATCAGGACTCCTTCACATATTCTGATTTGCAGATTACTTCTTTGGCGCTCAAAGTTCACACTAACATATGACAGACATGAAGAAGTATATATTCCCTCCCTGGAAGCCACAGATCAAACATCCCAGTACTTGGCGCTCAGCTCCCTAGGAGGGCTCCGTACCGTGGGGACTTAGCTCCCCTCAGAGCCACGGTGCTTTTACCGTTCTGTGGTTCTCGAAGCATGGTGCCCCCATGGACCGATCTACAGCCGGAGGATTGCCGTGTTCACCCCCAAGTGTCTGCTGGATAGTGCTTGGAACAGTCTGCGTCCCGGCTACCTCCAGGGCCCTCCTGGGTGGCCGTTCTCAGCTCCACTTACCAATAGTTGTAGAGGCACTTTTCTCCATAGTTAGCACCGAGAGCCTGCTCGTGGCTACAGGACGACAGCTCGGCTGAGGGGCTGTGCAGCTCCCGTTTGATCTTGGTTGGAGGCGGGGCATGAAGCACCACTGAAATCAGAAGAGGGAGGAAGGAGGGACAGAGAGAGGACAGCCGGTCAATGGGGAGCATGTGCTTCTTTCTGCAAAGCATGTATCTGGCCAACTGTTTTTGGAACGCACATATCAAGTTAATGCCAGAGACAGCAGGACACTTAAAACACATAACCTTCCATCTAAAACCAATGAAAAGGTCTCTAAAGTCAGAAACCATCATGGCACTTTTAATTAACCGAGTCTTTTTTTTTTTTCCCCCACATTTCTTTGATCATGGGTCTGCTTCCCTTAAAAACGGCTCTGAGAGTTCCTGATGGGGCAGGAGAAAAGTGGGGTGCAGAACTCAAATTCTAGTAAAAAGTCCAGACTTCATGGTTTGAATGAGACTGGAGGGACACTGGAAGACACGGCCCCCAGACTCTCTGTCAGCCCGAAACTAAAACCATTCCCGAGGCCAACTCTTCAGACAATGATTAGACTGGACTATGGGACATAAAATGATACTTGTAAAGAGTGGGCTTCTTAGCTCAAGTAGATGCATGAGACTAAATGGGCAGCTCCTGTCCGGAGGTGAGATGAGAAGGCAGAGAGGGTCAGGAGCTGGTTGAATGGACACAGGAAATCCGGGGTGGAAAGGAGTGTGCTGTCACAGTATAGGGAGAGCAATTAGGGTCACATAACAATGTACGTATAAATTTTTGTATGACAGACTAACTTGAATTGTAAACTTTCACTTAAAGCACAACCATTAAAAAAAAAAAAAATGCTCTGAAACCGTTAAAAATCCTGTTCTTCAAAGAGAAGAACAACAAACAAAAGCAGCGAAGGTGGAGTAGAACACCAGGCGTTGCCGACATGAAGAATTTTGTTTCCAAAAAAAAGGACAAAACAACAAAAATACATCGGTAGGCATTCATCAGTCTATCACAGGCTTGGAGTTGCTCTGGCAAATACATTTCTTGTTCAGGGGCATATTTACAAATTAAATATATGGTTTGAAAAATCCTTCCTCAAGTAACTCTAAATGTCAGATCTGAGAAACAAACACTCAACTTTGGGGCCTAACAAAAAATTTTCAAACAAAAGAATGAAACTATCGACCAAACCACTGCCCAGGAAAAGCTAACTGCATACAGGAAAAGCAGCCCTAAAGGCTTATAATGCTTCTCCATGCCTTTCCCAGTGACCAAGAAGGAAGGGCAGCCTTTCCTAATCAATCCTTTCATCCTTGTTGCTCTAAGAGTGGACCTTTCCGTTAGCAGCCGAGCACTTAACCACTGCATCACCAAACCCGCTGCCACTGAGTCCATTCCAACTCATAGTGACCCTATAGGGTTTCCAAGGCTATAAATCTCCACGGAAGCAGACTGCCCCATCTTTCTCCTGCGGAGCAGCTAGTGGGTTCAAACCGTCTACCCTTCAGTTAGCAGCCAAGTGCTTAACCACTGCACCACCAGGGCTCAGCCCACCCAACAGACAAACAAGAAAACCTGGGTTTGCATTTTCTTTCTTCTCTGGGAGCCAACTCATTTCAGAGACGGCACTTTACCCAAAGTAGGACAAACTACAGATGCTGCCCCATGAGGGTTGTCTTCTTATAGCATGGCTTAGGATGGCCACTCCCCGTCCAGCTGCCTTACAGGGTGGAGAGGAGAAAGAGTTAAGCCCCAGTGAGGTGCTTGCTGCTTTCCACTGTAACAAAGGTCTCACTAAATAGCTAACTACGGTCCGTGCCCTTGTGACCCGCTAACATTTTCTGTTTGACTCAGTGTTTACTCCTAAAACATTTTCAGAAGTTTGGTTACTTCTTAATGATTATATGAGTTAGAATTAGCTAAATGATCGTCTCTTGCCTATCTGATAAGAACGAACAATCTTCCAGCCAACTGGTTTCTCAGGTGCCTCCCACAACCCTCAGTTCTGGGCTCGGGGGTGAACAGGTGAGCTGGAGGGCTCTATCACAGATGCCTAGTTTATAAAGCAACGTTGCTGCAAAGTCCTGCCAGGGGCTGACTGGAAAGGGCGGGTTTTCACAATTCCTTTCTTCCATGTTGCCAACAGCTTTTCCTGAAGAGATGAACTAAGTAAAGAACTGGCAGATTATATTTAGAAGACATTAGAGTCTCTCTTGTGATTTTTTGATGATGACATCATGGCAGCCCACACTCAATTGTTATCAAATGTTTTCAGACACAGAAAATAGCTAAGCTTGTTGTTGTTTGAAAGTCAGACAATTTCACACAGAAAACCATTTCTCCAGGGCAGCGGATGCTCTGGTGGTTCTCGGCGCCGTTTCTCCAGGGCAGCGGATGCTCTGGTGGTTCTCGGCGCCGTTTCTCCAGGGCA